CAGATCATTACATGATTGACCTAAGTTTAACAAATTCAACTTCAGTGAAACTTGAACTTGAGTCGAAACTTCACTTTAGACTTTAATTAATGACTTAGCAAAAAATTTTAAGAGTAAAAGTCAATATAGCTAACACAGTCTTTTCTTATTAGCTGTCCACTAATTCAATCAGCTACTGGTTCAATGACATGCACTAACTGGATGACAATTCATACGTGTGGATGACAAATCTGTACTGCCATACATATGTTCTTTACATGAAAAGAAATTGACGGGTCCTATTAATTACTCCCTCCGTCCCATAAAATTCTTCCAACTTTCCTTTTTGGGCATCCCAAAAAATTCTTCCAACTTACCATTTTTGGACAATTTGTGTGGCTCACATTCATTTCACCTTTTTCTTACACAACAACTATCATACATTTCCACTTTATTCCACTTCCTTAATATGCATGCCAAGTCAAAGTTGGAAGTTTTTATTGGGACGGAGGGAGTACTAATGAGGGGGAGGAACTATATTAAGATGACTTGCATGACCCTGAGGAATTGAATACAAGTAGCCACATTCTCATTCCCTTGGAGTTACAAACAGTAAAACTGATTTGGCTTGAAATTTTGAAACAGATCAACATGCAAATGACAAGATGCAGAGTGATTTGGGAGCAAAATGACATAGCTAGATGGCAGTTAGAAAGGAAGTGTTAAAGGCACCTTACAGTTGATTTAGTATGTGCAGCTGATCTGATAAAGTAAGGATGAACTAGAGCTTGGCCTTTAGCCTTTTGGATTTTAGTTATAGTTTCCAATTCCATTGAGAAGCTTATTATATATTGCTCATTAGATGCTGACTGCATATTTTGAGGTTTCCCAGACTAAGGTAGAATTAAAATTATTTATTTTTTGCTCTCCAATTTACTCCACCCAAAACTACCTTCTTTTTGTTTATTCTTTGTGAATTGTTCAAAGAGCTTGGGCAGTTAAATTAGAATTTAGAAACCTAAACCTAAAGAAAACCTAATTCCTCTCTTCCCTTCTCAACATGGAAGTGATGGAACTATTGGCCTAAAATGGAACTTTTCAGAGATTGATTTCTTAGTAGTAGCCCCAAATATAAGTACGGCTAGCCCCATGGAATATTAATTAACGGATCTAACTCCACACCCAAATACCATCTACTCCTGAAAGTAACTACAACAACAATTTATCAAATATCATATCTATATAGACGAACATGCACATATGAACAAGTCTTAAATTTCTTTACCGGAAAGAAGTTCGAGGTGTTGATTGTGAGGAGCGAGATCTCGTCAACTTTGGGTCGGAAAACAGCGATCTGGGCGTTTCCGGCGAGAGAAAGGCGAGTATCGCAGGGGGAGAGCTGAACGGCGTTTCTGTTGTTGATGGCGAAGGTGGCGTTTCTGGGGGCAAATGCAACTCCGAAGGTGAACCCGTCGGACCTCTGTACCTTTGCATCAGAACAAGGCGAGTATACGTGATTAGTGTCGCTGATCGACTGGGATGAGAGAAAGAGAGTTGATACGAGCAGTAGAATGTGCATCGCGTATGGCATCGCCATGCTCGTTAGTTCGAGGTCGAAGGGCGATGAAACGACTGAAATGACCAGATACCCCACTTTTTTGTAACATTGGATTTTGCATTTCATTTTCAAAAAACTTTGACTTTTCACCCCAACACATACCATTTTGTGAAGAAAAATTTCTAAATGGGATGCAAAGTTAAATAAATTTTAAGTGGAATGGGGTCCAGAATCAAAGTTTTTTTCAAAATGGAATGCAAAGTCCAATATCACCCAAAAAGTAGGGTGCAAAATCAAATTCCCCCTTTGCTTATCTATGACTTCCTCCCTGCACCAACTCTAGTACGGGATGATTCCATTAAAGCTAGGGCCGTTAAAAAATCGAACTTTTATGGAACTATTCGAGTTCGAGCATGGTTTTGACCATAACGAATCGAGCTTAACGAGCTTTCGAACTCGAACCGAGTTCGAAAAATTAATCGAGCCGAGCTCGAACATAGTAATTTATATAAATTACTATCGAACACCCTTAAAATATAAATATAATTTTTATATATGTCATAATTTAAATATAAATTGTATGATGTTATGAATTTTAATATGACTATTAACGAAGCGAACACTTGTCGAATAATTCAAGCACGAGCCTTTTAACGAGCATCACCTAAAATTTTAAATTAAACATATTTATCGAGCTTATCGAGCACTCGATTTGAACATCGAACGCCTATCGAGCCAAACACAAGCCTCATTTGTAAAGCTCGCTGACCTTTGAGCTCGACCCCGAACACCCCTATTAAAGAATCGAACCTAGCTCGAGCTCTGGGTGTTCGGGCTCGGCTCGGTTCGTTAACAGCCCTAATTACAACTGGAATGAGCCATTCTTGGTGTACACAGAAAGTGTATACGAGTTGTTTGTGTACATAGACAACTAGAGCATTTTTTACATCAAATCTTGTTAATTTTCAAACGTATTCCCTGTGTACACAAACAACTAAATGTGTTTTGTGTACACTTTGTGTACAACTCATTTATACTAAGATTTTTTCGGGTCGGATCACAGCTCCATCCAATTCGATGTTCCTTTTTTTTTAAGTTTGAATCCTCAACCCCAAGGTCCATATGTTCCGACCCGACAAGACATTAGGAGGTTGTAAGTCACGGTGATTCAGTTGGTCCAAAGGTGATAGACCTTGTACCCACGCGCACCATAATTCTAGGCCAGCACGCAGGAGCTGTAACCTCCAACAACAGCTGCGACTTTCGATCCTTGGTCAATGTTCCAACTTTCCCACCACTCAACTAACTGAGCTAACCTCGTGGGTACAACTCCGTCCAATTCGAAAATATAGATGAAAACCCAAAAATATAGATACAAAAATTCTACTCGAAACTGAACTGCCATTACATCATTTTATTGTAAATATTACTCCATAGAAAAGAAGTTTTTCCTATAGGTGTTTGCAATCAGGGTCCTTAGAGGCGTTTGCAATCAGGGGCGAAGTCAAAGAGGGTTAGGTGACTGCCCAAAAGATTGAGAGTATAGAGTTCAGAAATGTCTTTGATTTGATATATTATCGCCTCCGTAACTCATTACGCGTAAAAAATTATGACTTCTGGAAAATCGGCACTATCTAAACGTAAAATCAGCAAATTTTGATGCATGCTATTGGTTACTTTCCCAAATTTTAAAAACATCGTATAATTACTCATTGTATGTGACATAACTCATAGACAAAACAAAGACAATCTATCTTATTGGTACGAGTTCCTATATATCTAAACTACATATGAAACATTTAACTCAGATATTGTCTAAACATGATTCATCATTTTCATTCTGTATATAGCTGGGATAGATCTCTCCATCATTTTGCAATGGAGCCAATGACTCACTATTTTTTGGCTTGAGAATATGATTCAATAAAGCAAAATGGCTTACTAAACTGTATGCGCTTCTTTGTTATGAAGCAGCAGTCGGTCCATGCAATTTTCACTATGGGTCATCCAGGAACAGTCTCTCTGTGCTTTAGCACAGTGGTAAGACTGCGTACATCCGACTACCCCTAACCCCACTGAAGGTGTGGGAGCCTTTGCGGCACTGGGGTAATGATGATGATGATATAGCTGGGATCGATCCCCCGAGTCATTTTTTGGCTCCGCCATTGTTTGCAGTCGCTTCTAATTAAAAAAAAAGATTTTAAGTGAATATACATGTACTACTAATAGTAAAAATTGGTATTTTTGATAAAAAAAGGGTTTTAAAAATGTAAAAGTTGATGACGTTTGATAGAAATTAAATGTCCGGAAATGATCAGGTCCAACCCTTCTTTGTCTAGCCACCATCCAGACTCCACCGTTTGGGGCGGTTCACGGTGAAATTTTTGATGATTTTTTTTGAGCACGTTTCTCATCAAGTCTAGTTTGTCCATACCAAATTTCAGCTCAAAATTCGATCGGGAAGGCATTCAAATCATTTTTTGAAGTTGATTGCGTTTTTATATGTATATTTTGGCGCAGTCAACTTAAACAAATGATTTGAATGCCTTCCTGAACGAATTTTGAGCTAAATTTTGGTATGGACAAACTAGACTTGATGAGGAAAATGCTCAAAAGATTTAATCAAAAAATTCCATCAGGAAGGCCCTCTGATAGCCAAGTTCGGACGGGGCTTCCCGTCAGAACTACCTGAGGTGATCATTCCTCATTAAATGTCTTTTTAGTAACATACAAAGTGATAAACAATTTATAACGTCCCCGCACCTAACCATCTAATTCCACCTTTTAGCTTTAAAATGCTTACTTCCTCCGTATTTTAAAGTTTGCTAGATTTTTCTTTTTTGAATGTATTTAAAAGTTTGCTACACTTTCCATTTTTGATAAATTTTTTCCTTTAAAAATACTCAATTATCCTTACTTTTCCTACTTTTTATCTCCTCTTTCATGCTTTTACACTTTCTCTCCTACTTTCTCTACATTATTCATTATCCCTATTATTTCACCCTTAAATGTTGTCCAACCCTATTGAAGATATCTTTGAAATAGGGAGGGAGTAATTTAAACGGACGTTGTCATTCGAAAATACGATAGTATTCAATTTCAACTTTTTAAACTAAAAAATTGTCATAAAAAAGAGTTGAAAAACTATTTTTCCTTTCAAACCGTCCCTAATCCAACCTTCCAAAATTCACCGGTGCCCGTCCGACACTCCTTCCTCACTGCAACTAACTCGGGCCAAGGATGCTAGCGTGCATAGTGGTGTGCTCTGTACAAAGGTCGGGTATCCCAGTCTCACATGTCTAAGAGCATAATTTCTCGTATAAAACCTCTGTGCAACCGGAAACCCAAACGCAGTTCACCATCGAACCTCCAAGTCACACCCAGTGAAAGAAAAGTCGCCTATGAGGTTTGCAGCATTCTGAGAACTCAAAGTCACTGGGAACGGAATGTTGAGGTCCTCCTTTCGGAAGCCCAAGCGGTTCCATCTGAAATAGCCCACCTTGTGTTCGACAAAATTCGGGATGCTCAATTGGGCTTGAAGTTCTTTGACTGGATCTCTCGGAGACCCTATGGCTGTCCCCTTGATGGGTTTGCGTACTCGTCTCTCTTAAAGCTACTTGCGAAGTTCAGACTCTTCCAGGAAATTGAAGCTCTGCTGCGTGAGTGTACAAAATGCGAGGAGACGTTGCCTACAAGAGAGGCATTTGATGAATTGATCCGAGCTTATTCAATTTCAGGTGTGGTTGAGAAAGCTCTTGAACTCTACTCATTCGTTTTGAAAACCTTCAGTTTGCTACCTCACGTAGTCACTTGTAATCATTTGCTTCATGGTCTTGTTAGTAATGGACGGGTTGAAGCTGCTATGGTGGTATACAATGAGATGGTAAAGAGGGATGCTGGAATTGAAAATAGATGTTTGGATAATTATAGCACTTGTATAGTTGTGAATGGATTGTGTAAAGATGGCATGGTTGATGAAGGCTGGAAGCTTATCAGTGACAGGTGGGGAAAGGGGTGTGTGCCAAGTATTGTGTTTTACAATGTACTTATTGATGGGTATTGCAAAAAGGGTGATATAAAAAGTGCTTATAATATTTTCCAAAAATTGAACTCCATGGGTTTTTTGCCAACCGTAGAGACATATGGAGCTCTGATAAATGGATTCAGCAACAATGGAAATTTTGAGATAGTTGACGAGCTTATGAGGGATATGGCGGCTAGGGGACTCTCAGCCAATGCCCATGTATATAACATCATTATAGATGCTAAATATCGGCATGGTGGTGACCTGAAACCACTGGATGCCATTAGAAAAATGATTGAAGAGGGATGTGATCCCGATCTGGTGACATATAATACTTTGATCTCTGGTTCATGCAAAGCTGGGGAAATTGAGGAGGCTGAAGAACTTCTAGAGAATGCAAGAAATAGGGGATTGGTGCCTAACAAACGTACATATACTCCTTTGATCCATCTGTACTGTACACAGGGAGATATTGACAGGGCTTCATGTTTTCTTGTTAAGATGACTGAGTATGGTGATCCACCTGATCTGCCAACATATGGAGCTCTAATCCATGGTTTTGTACGCTCTGGGCATGTTGATGTTGCCTTAACTATTCGTGACAGGATGACCAAGAAGGGATTGTTACCTGATTCTTGTATATATAATGTCTTGATGAATGGGCTTTTCAAAAAAGGGAAGCTTTCTGAAGCCAAGCAGCTTTTTTCTGAGATGCTTTCTCACAGTATCGTACCTGACATGTATATTTATGCCACTCTAGTGGATGGGATCATAAGAATTGGAGAGATAAATGAAGCAAAGAAGCTCTTTCAGCACACGATTGAAAACGGTGTGGATATTGGTGTTGTGGGGCATAATGCAATGATCAAGGGCTACTGTAAGTTTGGGATGATGAGTGAGGCGGTGTCATCTATGAGCAGGATGAAGAAGTTGAAGATTTTTCCTGACGGGTATACTTATTCCACTATGATAGATGGATTTGTAAAGAAACAAAACATGAGTGGTGCACTGACAATATTCTGTGAAATGGTGAAACAGAAGTGTTTAGCAAGCGTGGTTGCTTATACCTCTCTCATTAATGGATATTGCCAAATTGGCAGTTCTCAAAGAGCACTATATTTTTTCCATTATATGCAGTCAAATGGTTTAGTTCCTAACGTTGTTACCTATACTACATTGATTGGGGGATTTTGTAAGGAAGGACAACTTGCAAAAGCTGCAATTTTTTTTGAACAGATGCTTATTGCCAAGTGCTGCCCAAATAATTATACCTGTAATTATTTGGTGAATGGATTTTCAAATAGTGCACATTCTGTAGTTCTGAAGGAAGGAAATAATCCTAAAAGCTGCAAGACATCCATGTTCTTGGATGCTTTTCGAAAGATGATTTCAGATGGATGGCTTCCAAATATTGCTGCATATAACTCAATTATTGTTTGCCTGAGTTTAAACGGGATGTTAAAAACTGCACTGGAGCTGCAGAATAATATGGCCAGTAAGGGCTTGTGTGTTGATTCTGTTTCCTTTGCAGCATTGTTGCATGGGATTTGCTTGGACGGAAAATCAAAGGAATGGAAGAAGATCGTTTCCTGCAACTTAAAGGAATCTGAGCTCTGTACTGCTTTGATTTACTCCAAAATATTTGATCAGTACCTTGCTCGTGGCCTGAACTTTGAGGCTTCAGAAATTTTGCACAACATGGTCAGTGATTGTAAGTCACATAATCTTCACATGGATAACATTGAAGTGTCAGCAAATAGGTGATGGTTTCTCTTTAATTTACGGGTTAAATGTGTAAAACCAAGTCCAGAGACACCATCAGACCTATATGACAAGGCAATTGTGTGTGCTTTGTTGGACCTTTTCTTTTGAAGAGCTGAAGCACTAAGAGCTGATAAAATTGCACGTTGTTATGTTTGCTCAAAACCAGGCAACCAGCCAGGCAGCCAAGACTTTTGCTATCTCCTTTTCAAGTGCTTATCTCCTCTTCAAGCACAGAAGATAATGGAGATCCTGAATCCCAACAGTATGAATAAAAAAGACTCCTGAGACCTACCCTATCTCCAGATCAGAAGGGTTTTCTCTGAACATTGTAATTGAAGAACACAGCAGAGTTTAAAATATCCAAGCACAGATCATAAATTGTCTCAAGACATAATTCCAACATTCAGCTTCTAAGTGATCTGGAATATAAATATCTTGTCCTTTTCAGATGCTGTTATGGAGAAAAAGAGACCATTCCTTTATGAGCTTTGACAAGCAAATGGTTTGTGAGTTCAAGACTATTATCAAGTGAGTCATTGTTTAAGGAAATGATGGTGCGGTATGATCTCTCACACATGAAATTGAAAACAAAACATGGATGGTGAATTAGAGGCCGCCATTGAAAGGGGATAATTGTTTTTCACTCGAGATTTTGGTGCATCTTAGCCGTTGATCACTGATTATGTGTGTAGGCGTGGAGCAGTGGTTGGCAAAGCTCTTTCAATGATATGTATAAGACACTTATTGCAGGCTGAATAGTGTCATGTTGAATGCCTATCAGCCTATGTATACTACAACTGAAATGGTTACTATAACATGTTGAATGCCAATGAATCCGAGTTTTAGAACAATGATTTTAGTTGAGTTTTATTTATTCTAAAAAAAATGATATGTAGTACACAAATAAAAGCATGTTGGAATAAATGATATGTAACTCCAACCTAACATTTTCTTATTATTACACAATTCAACGCGCGAAATAAAAAAATTACGTGTTTGGTTAAAAAGTTGGTTGATAAGCATGATAAGCTGAAAAATAGAGTCACTAAACAAGCTCTATATGATGGAAGGTCATGTGTGAATGTAAAATAATCAATATTAACTCATAATCGAATATCTTGCAAGCTTTTCGGGTCAAATATTTAAACTTGAGCTTGGTTTGGATTGGTTCGAGTCGAGTTCGAGTGCAAGTCGAGTTTGAATCGAGTCGATCTATGTTCAAGTAAGAATCGAGTTCTCGAGTATTTTGGGAGTAGATTTGCTTGATTAGTATTACCCTTGTTTCACTTTACGTATCCTATTTTGATTTGACATAATTATTAATAAAGTGATTAAAAAGCAAAAGCTGTGATTATGAATTGAGCATAATAAAGTGAAAGTTTGTAGTCACATTTTTTTTCAAATAAAAAAATAAAGGATTGTTCTAAATAAGACCAAAACATAGATAAAAAGCCAAAGTAAGACTAACCATGTTTTTCCCATAATAGGAATCACCCGCTCCTATTTTGAGTTGTCGTTGCTTCTATAATGTCGATAAAGCTCCCCCCCCTCATCCTCCTCCTCCTCAGCAATTCCCATGTTATTGTCTGCTCTCTCCTCACTTCTTTTGTGTTTCTTTTTATTTTTAATATCCGAAGTCTCACGCTCCTCTCCCCCCTTTTCTTATTTAATTGGTAACATCTCTGCCACTCCTTCATCTTCTCTCTTCCTCTTCGATCCGATCGGAACATTCATCTTTCAAATTGTAATAATGGGGTACCAACACTAATTTCAAAATTCCATGTGTTCTTCATAGTGCTTTTCCTAGTTTTTCTGTTTTAAAAAAAATGTCATTTTGGTTCTCAAAATGACATGAAATGTCATGAAGATGGCGTTTACAGACGTAAAAACTTGGTAGTCGCTCCTCCTCATTCACCTTTTTAAAAATGACATGAAATGTCACGAAGATGACATTTACAGGCGTAAAATACCCGACAATCGCTCCTCCTCCACCTTTGCAAAAATGACATGAAATGTCATGAAGATAACAATTATAGATGCAAAAAACCTTGCGCTCCTCCACCTTTTTAAAAAAGTCATCATGTTTGTTCTAAAAATATCATCAATGTGTCATTATTACAATATTACTCTTTGAAACTATCAATTTTACTCTGAAAATGTAATTAACTTCGAGTTAGTGTTCAATAAAACAACTATAATGACATTTTCAAATTCAAATCATGAGAAAATAATAAGAATGGTTTAAAATAAAATATTCAAAATTAATAACAAAATGGAAATTCAAAAGAAGAAGAAAAGGGATGAAAGGTGGAACAAGAGAACAACAGGGGAGGGGAGGGGGGAGGGGAGGGGGAGCTCACCTGGGCATGTAGCAGAGTCGCCACCCATCGTCGCCGACACTCATTCCACCCAACTAACATTGCAGAGTTATCAGCTTGCGAACTCATGTCGAGAGGCTTTGCAGAGCATTTTTGGCATTCCAATCTAGTTTTGGTCCTACAATATCACATAGAAAAGTAGCAGTCCTATTGTGGCGCTTCTCCAATGTTTTGGTCCCATTTGGGAATTTACTCATAAAAAGTGTGACACTTATTTTATGACAATTTAAAAAGAAAAGTAAGACACTTAAAATGAAACGGATGTAGTATTATGTAGTATGTACTACTCCCTTCGTATTTAAAAATCACTACATTAGGTGTAAAAAAAGTAGGCAAGAAAGTGAAAAAGTAGGGAAAAGAAAATAAAAAGTAGAGAAACTAAGGGTAATTGAGTACTTTTAAGAGAACAATTTAGGGAGAACTATCAAATAAGTCCTCAAACTTACATAAAAAGTGCAAATCACCCCTTATATAAGAGGCTCTGTTTGTTCATCGCCATTTGGGGAAGTTCCCGGTGGAAATTTTTGATGAAATTTTTTGAGCATCTTATTCATTAAGTCTAGTTTACTCATACCAAATTTCAACTAAAAAATCAATCGGGAATTCAGTCAAATGAATTTTTGAAGATAACTGCGCAGTTAAACAATGCAGTATATTTCAGAAAATCATTTGACTGCCTTCCCAATTGAATATTTAGCTGAAATTTGGTATGAGTAAACTAGATTTAATGAATAATATGTTCAAAAAATTCTATCAAAAAATTCCACCGTGAACCTCTCCAAATGACAACGGCTGAACAGAACCTCTTGTATAAGGGGTGATTTGTACTTTTTATGTAAGTTCGAGGGCCTATTTGGTAGGTCTCCCGAGAAATACATCCCAAATAAAAAAATGTAGCAAAATTTTAAATACAGTATATAGTTACGACTTTTAAACATGTGGTGGGCCAGCCCAGCCCAAAAAAAAAAGCAATTTCGTACAAACCAAGTATTGTCGCCACGTTGCCACCGAAGACAAACGTCCCCCTAAACTCTTCCACCGACTCCTCTTCCTTTACGACCTTCATCGTCTCTACTCTTTCTCTCTCAGTTGATCATCAATGGCGGAAGCGAAATTCGTCCTTGCCCTTTTAGTATTTCTGTGTTCAATATTTTCCATGAGCCTAGCCGACTCTAATGATTTTCAGTACTGCAGTACGTTCCTCTTGACTCTTTGACCATCTCTTACCTCATTTTTTTTTTTGTTATTTCTATTATCGTGACCTCAGGTTTTATTTGGAAGAGACCAATTGGCTCGTTCTTATGTTTTAAATATCTTTTACCATTCAAACTGATTCCCAGATCCCGAGATTCATGCGTGGAAGTCATAGTTTGCTCGGGATTTTATCTGTTTGACAAAACTTCTGACTGGGCACCCTTTATTTGATAAAAATGAAATCTTTCTGGGCGTATTGCTAGCCTACGTAGAGTAGTCTTTTGATATTTTCTTTAGATGGAGTTTGTTGCATATTGTTCTTTTAGGGCTATGTGGACTTTTGGTTGACTTGTAGTCTCTCTCTTATTATGTTTTTTTTTTCCTTTTTAATTTTTGGTTTTATTATTTATTTTTTGGTGGTGAATTCTCTAAATCCATATGTGCAGGCAAGAAGAACTATGATGTTAAGGTCAGCGGAGTTGATATAACACCTAGTCCTGTGCAAAGAGGCATCAACACCACTTTTAGCATATCAGCTTATTCAGGTGATCGTTCTATTGTGTCCAATTTTATAATAATTGGTTTTATGCACTAAATTTATTAAAACGTTTCTTCTTAAATTGTCTTTTTAACAGAAGAATGTTCATCTTACAAACAGGTGTTTAAGTTTTGTTTTAAGTTATCTTTGTTAATGTGTTGGAGGATTTTGTTAGAGGATAAGTATTCCATATTGTGCTATCATACGATATCACATTTATCTCTGTAGGCTCCATTGTATAATAATACATATGTTGGACATTTTTGATCTTCTTTTTCTTTGTGACACATTTACTGACTAAAAGGTCTGTTTCTTTTTACTGATTTTTCTGGTCTGGTTTAGTATATTTTTATATCTAAATGCGTTGCAAGACAGGAGGAGAATGATGAGAAAAATCAGACGAATTCCAAGAATGGAAAAAAATATTGTTTGATGGATTTCTTACCCGGTCCAATATAGTAATGAGTCAAGTTAAAGAGAACATGTTTTAACTTTTTAATGAGAACAGAGAGAGTAGAGAACTCCGAAGTCCAACTAGTAGTTTTAAGTAAGTAAAGGTAAAAGATATGGTATGCAACAAAGCCTCTTATTAACTATGTTGCCAAAGGATTGACTTAACATTCTCATTCAGATAAAGACATTTCTGGGGGGAAGATGCAGATTGATGTCAAATACTGGATATTTAATGTCTACAGTGAGACACATGACCTATGTGAAGAGACACCTTGCCCTATTTCTGCCGGTGATTTTGTCATAGCACACACCCAAGCGTTGCCTGGGATAACCCCTCCTGTAAGATTTCTCTTCTTTCCAGTTCATCTCTACTTCCCTCACTGCCTATGATTTTTTATGCCTATTGATTTTTATGCACATTTCCTCTTGATTAGTGGACTTAACTTATTGTGTCTAGATAGTTCTTCGTATTAGTGGCATTTACGAGTAATTTTAAAGTCTGTAACGGAATCAAAGAACATATTTCATATTTGGCATCATCATCACTATTCATTACCAAAGTAGTGTGCCTACTGACTATATATATTAATAAATGGTGATGATGACACCATCTGGATTTTATAATCATGGAGCATTGAGCCATTCATATGCTTATGTTTGGAAGTGAGATGGTGAACCATGGTACATCCAGGAATTGAGCCATGATTATGCAGGGGGGCTCTTTTCCAAGTTTTACGGTGGCGAAATTCTTTTTCCAAAATTTGCGGTGGGGAAGTTCTTTTTCCATGTTTTTAAGTGGAGAAATTATTTTTCCGAGTCTTGCAGTGGCAAAATTAAAATTTTTCTTAAAATTATGCATAAATGCTTTACACTTCGTACAAATTTCCAATAAATTATGCAAAAATGAGTGCAGGTGAGGCCCGTGAGGGGTTATGCGGATTATATGCTACACATTGTAATATATTCACCTTAAAAAACACCCAATGTGTGTGTGTTGGACCGGAACTAAAAATTGCAGACCTATACCCTTGACTCGGCTAATCTACCATTTGTGCTCCTAGACCTGGATCCATTCGGATCCAATACGGCTCTCGGCCAACTCCGGGTCAAAGTATCGAAAACTTACATTACGTTTTACATCTAAATTCATATTCCATTTAGATACATATGAGACAGTTTTCTTTTGAAAGTTTTAGGCATTCATCTTTACAATCAAAATATTAATAAGACATTTATTTCAAAATCCATTACTGCGTGATAGTAACAATGCAATTTTATAAAAAAGTTAAAGACATTACGTTAAAGTACTTTTTGGGGAATTAGGGAGTTATTCTTATCTGGACACAGTTATTCTGTTCATTGTAATGTTTGGATAATTCAGGGTTCCTACACGCTGACCATGAAGATGATGGATGGGAAGAAGCATGAGTTGGCATGTATCAGCTTCGACTTCAGCATCGGTTTTTTTGCAGCAGCAGAACCCAAGGTGGCAGTTGCTGATAGTTAAGTGCCGTAGTCTGTCCACTTTTTATTCGGAGTGTCTTCCTGTCTTCTATGTAAAATATATGTTGATGTAGCGTGATGCCTGACTTCGTACAATTTTAATGAAGACTATAACTTCGCACGTGGTTACTCCTTTTTCAAGTTCTTGGTCCAGCACCCTTGTGAATGATTGTTAATGTTATCAATGATGGACTCATTGCCTGGAATAATGTGTTTCAAGTTCCAAGTTAATTTGTTTCAAGTTCTTGGTCCAGCACCCTTGTTAATTCGTTCATGCTAGTTCTCTAAGGATTTAGCTTCCCCCATTCATCTTGATAGTTCAAAATTCAAATGAACAAAAAGGGATATGGACCATATGGTATGTCCTATACAGGACTCTTGTTATGAGCAATATTGTCCTATACAGGACTCTTGTTATGAGCATAGAGCATGTATACGGATTATGAGTGGCGGTTGTTTTTTTTTTTTTTCGAAAGAGGAGTTTTTCATGGGCTGCTTTGAGAGTATAAACAGGCGTCACGATTTTTTTTTTTTTTAATCGTCACAGGCGACACGAAGTTGATCCAATATTTATGAGTTATCACCTATTGGCTATTCCGTATAAGTTATTTCTTTTTAATTGGTTATTTGTCATTATTTATTTCAGTTCTTTTTTTCTATTTTATTTATTTTTACCTATGGTGTCACTGAGTTAGAAGTACTAAGATGTGTGGTTCCTCAAAAAAGTACTAAAATGTGTGGCAAAAATGATCTTTATTTTTAAATATTGGTCGCTCGGCGACTGAAGTTATTTTTTTCTGATTGTTGGGTGTGATTATGATATTTGAGTTATTTGAGTCATTTCTGCGAGTAATTTTTTTATGCTTTTTATCATTTTATGTTGACAATTATACGAAGCACTAATTTTCTAACCCGTCACACAATTTTGGTAGGTTTTTATTTGAATTGTTTTGAATACTACGGAGTAGTTTAGATTAGACTAAACAGATTAGACCAGACTTCCATAGTTTTAAAATAACCAGACATTTACCAGATCAATTCAGATCAAACTGGACTTAAATAGACCAGACTAGATCAACAAATTTCAGTTCAAGTAAAAACATTCTTAGATGAGTATATGGTGTAGTTAGTGGTGGACTCGGGTCGGGCCACCCGGCCCGGTCCGCTACTGTGCGGGCCCGGGACCTGCCCGGTTCACCGGTCCGGATACCGGGCTTTGACCCGGTCCGAGGGGGAGACGGTTCCGGGCACGGTTCCTTCAAAATGAGATCCGGCCCGGACCCGGTTTGGGCCGATTTTTTTTTTTATTTTTTCATTTTTTTTATTCCAACGGGTTGGGCTGGGTGTTTTTTTTTGGGGGGGGGGGGGGGTTTGGGGGTGAGGGGGGGGGGGTCAGGGGTTAATTAGAAAAAGAAAAAAAAATTATAAAGAGACCCGTGGCCCGGCCCGGACCCGGTGGATACCCGGGCCGGTCCCGGGCCCAACCCCAAATCCCAGAAAGCCCGTCGGGCCTAGGCCCGCCCCGGGCCCGCCCCGGCCCGAATCCACCCCTAGGTGTAGCGGTGTACCAATCAATATTTTTTTAATGAATATTACTAAAATAAAACTTATTTATATTTAAACATTATTAATTTTGAGATTGAAAATTGAAAATTTGAAACCATATAATACAACCATCCTTACCTTTTAATTTTGAGATGGAAAAGATCTAGAGTTTTGCATAATTTGATGAATGTCTATTTAAGGAACAAGGGAAATTACTATCAATTTAGGACGTGTGAACTCCAAATATGTATTGTGCATTTAGGGGGACCGGTCTTCGAGACTTCACAACTGAAAAACCTGTCACCTGGTCCTCTGACATGCACATATCGATTAAGAAGAAACTGCAAATTCAAAACCCTAATCCAATCCTTTCAGAGACGAATGAGATTACTTCCTCGCATGAATGATCAATTCTGGCTACCATTATATATTCCAACATCAAGTCATCAACCATCTTCTTCTTCAATTCATTGAGAAAGGGCTGTCTCAGCATTCTTTTCTGATTGCCGATTCTGCAGAAGCTTAACTTCTTCCGCACACATAGGTTACATGATAATCAACTTTTTCGCAAAGATTGTTGCTTTCATCCATAGAAAGCCTTAAATGTTTCATAGCTTTAATTTTTATATTCTGAAGCTCTCTAGGAAGCTAAATGCTTGGGATTACGGTTTGGAATTGTGTTGGTTAGAATTGCATAATGTCAGTGCGGCTGAAATCATTTCAGCACAAACATGAGTGGTGATTAGGGATTTGGGAGACAGAAGAAGGAATAGCAGATAGATGGGAAACAAATGTGTTCATGCAAAAATCACAAAGAATGGGATCTTTCATTCTCTCTTTTGGTGGGTCCCACCGCTCGATATGCTCACACCTGCTAAGAAAAATGAAACAAGCTGTGAAGAAGAGGCAGAAGGTGCAATTGTTCCAGTCCAGAACAACAAACCACCAGAAGTGGTTAGGATGGAAAAGGATGAGAAGGAGGGACATCACACTGAGGAAGGCGATACAGCCAAAAGAGGAAGCAGAAAGGAAAAGCCTTCGAAACCCCGAAAGCCCCACAATGTGAAGAGAGCAGTCAGTGCTGGCCTGCAGGTAGACTCTGTGTTGAAGACCAAAACTGGACATCTGAAGGACTTCTACCAATTAGGGGAGAAACTCGGGCACGGCCAATTCGGGACCACTTTCCTTTGTGTCGAGAAGGCGACTCGGGAAAAATATGCTTGTAAGTCTATATCAAAGAGGAAATTGGTGACAAAAGAAGATGTGGAAGACGTGAGGAGAGAAATTGAGATAATGCACCACTTGGCCGGTCATCCTAACGTCATATCTATTAAAGGCTCATATGAGGACTCAGTGGCAGTTCATTTTGTTATGGAACTATGTGTAGGAGGTGAACTATTTGATAGGATTGTAAAGAGGGGGCATTACTCAGAGCGGCAGGCAGCTGACCTCACTAGGACCATAGTTGGTGTGATACAAGCCTGCCACTCCTTGGGGGTCATGCATAGGGACCTTAAGCCTGAAAACTTCCTCTTTGTTAGTGATGAGGAGGATTCACCTCTCAAAACTATTGATTTTGGATTATCAACTTTTTTCAAACCAGGTATGCATTTATATATATACTCTAATACTCTCTCAGTCTAACAAAAGAGTCATATTTTCTCAAGGTACAACTCTCTATTTTAACAAGTTATACCCATTAAGAGTGACATAATCAAATTAAAAACTAACTCTATTTGATGAAATGGGAGTATATGACTTCTTTAAGACGATAAGAATTATTAAAATACTACTCGTACTTTTTTATGGGACCAGAGGGAGTATATCTTTTGCTACGTTTTCAACTTGTGTCATCTTCTTATAAAATCTGATTTGCTTGTTTAAATCATTCTTTATGATATTTATGTGGTTTTTTCTAAATGCAAGATACTCCGTATATATGAAGTGTTTGCGGTTCCTTAATACCTCTTCTCTGCTTTTCATTTTAAATAAATCTAAGGTTTTCAAAAAAGTACTTCTTCTTACAATTAAACACTTCAAAACTAAAGGTTGTATGCAGGAATAAATTCCACTTTTGGTCCTACGAGCATCACACCGATTCCACAATTGGTCCACGTCTTTGACTTTGACAATTTTTGATACATAACTATTGTGTTTTCACCCATATATGATCCTTCCGGCAATAATTCCGGTGGTTAAAATCGCCGGAGGACAACAAATGATTAAGAAACATTAGTCAAGAGCCAAAAGTGGACAAAGTGAAATACATGGACTAAATGTGAACATGACATAAAACTCTTAGGATAAAAAATGGAATTAATTCTGTATGCAGTGGGAATGTGCTTAAAACTACTTTTCCAAAAAAAAACTTTTTTGCCAAACATTCCATCTTCTACTTTTAAAATTCACTTCTATATTCATATACTACTAACTTTTACAATTTAACATGTTTCTGTGTAACCTCTAATAAATAACTTCTCACAAGCACAATCAAGCACAAATAGTGAGGGACACTTTGCAGGTAATAGCAGATATGCAATCAAAATAAGCAAGGCTAAACAATAATAAGATGAATAAAAATAACATTTCTTCAGCATAAAGTAAAGTAATTTTTTAAAGTGAAAACTAGTTTATTTCTTTCAATGAGGTAAATGCTAGAAATGAGGATAACAAACTCAAAAGAGTGAATTTTTTGTTATGTATGAATAGTCACATAATTCAAAATGAAAAATGAACTCATTTATTTTTAAATAAGCTCCAACTCATCCTAAAGGGCCATCAATTAAATGGGAATTAAATGGGCGAAATCAACTTAGACAAACTACCCATTATTGGTACCAATAAACAAACAATTTAACACTAGAGGTTTGTGTTATACTTTATATGTTAGATATACCTCAGGTAAATATACGATGGGAAGACTTGAACTGTTTAAAAGGATTATACTCCCTTTATCTCATTATGTAAGATACATTTCCTTTTGTCTTTCACAAAAATATGAAAAATTTTCTAATTTGATATCTTCTAACTTTTCCCTTTTTCATTTACCTTTTACTAATGATCTAACATTTAACTTTTTGTGTGTGGATATGTATTACTTTCATCTTTCTTTTTTAATTTTAAAAAAAAAAGGTACAATTACAAAAGAGTCTATTTTGAAATACTTTTAAAATAGGAGAAATCTGAGTATTTCATTGATGCCAATAAATGTTGCTTATCTATGTTATGAAATCAGGGGAAATCTTCGATGATGTTGTTGGAAGTCCTTATTATGTTGCACCAGAAGTTTTGGGGAAACATTATGGTCAAGAGTGTGATATTTGGAGTGCTGGTGTGATAGTTTACATCCTCCTTAGTGGTGTTCCTCCGTTTTGGGGAGGTAAGCTTTTAGTAATATGTAACTTTAAATAGGTTATTATATTGTCTTACCTTCTCATCCTTCTATCATTTTGATGTTCTTTTTCAGAAACTGAGCAAGACATATTTGAGGAAGTCTTGAGGGCTGATGTTGACTTTAAATCAGAACCTTGGCCTAAAATTTCTGATAGTGCTAAAGATTTAATAAGAAGAATGTTGGTTAGGGATCCTAAAAAGCGTCTAACTGCTCATGAAGTTCTTTGTAAGTTACAAATATTTTGAGTAATTTATGTTCGATGAATCCGATTACTCTTCAAATTTCTATATTAATTTTCCATTGGATGAATCTATTGCATATAGTTCCATGGATATAATCAAGTTGTGTTTAATTTGATTTTTAAACACAGAAGAATGTGTTATGCGGCACTTAGCATGATTTATAAGAAATAATTCAACATATGGTTTATATTTAAACCTGGGTCCCAAAATTCTTCCATTGCTTTTGCTCGTACGCTTTTGATCACTTTCATTTAAAAAGGTGATTTTAAGTTTTTTAAATTACATTTGCTATATTAATGCACTTGTTAGTTGTTAAGATCCGAAGTTCCATCTCAAAAGATCAACTTGGTAAAAGTAGTAGTCCAGAATCTTATATAGTGCTTTATTATTTTATGTACTTCTGGAGTGAGACAAATACTTCAACATGTACGTCCCTCAACCCAAATTAGGCAGACAATATCGGGTGTATAAATGAGCTAAACAGACCCTTTAGTGAATTACTCTTAATCATGGGTCCTAAATAACAATCAAACCATAACCGGACTTGACTATGATATCATATTAAGTCTTGAGGGTCACATCCTAAAATGTCAATGTGATAGGAGTAGTAGCCCAAAACCATATATAGTATTTATTATTTTGTATAATTTCGGTTTGAGACAAATACTTCAACACTAAACACAACCCTATAACAAACATGCAAATTCATATATGAGGCATTGAGTTACTCCATCGGTCATATATAAAAACACAAACTCACACATGAGTTTTTGAGCTACCCCTTCTATGTGTATGACTCTTTTTAGGATATAATTCAATCTTATAATGCTAATTGCTAAATCTATTAATAAGATCAAAAGAGTCTGTTAAGTTTTTTTTTGTACATTTTATGCAAGTAAAACCTGCTTGTGTACTCCGCGAATGTGATTTTGAAATGAGGTCTCACCATTCCTTTGAACTCTAAATCTTTTAGCTAAGCTAAGGGGAAGAGATTCATAGGTGATATGACATAAAGAGAATATAAGAAAATATCCTTTAAAATTGAAGATATAATTTTCTTACATGTTTGTTTTGGCAGGCCATCCATGGGTGCAGATTGATGGGGTGGCCCCAGATAAACCTCTCGACTCCGCAGTCTTAACTCGCTTAACACAATTTTCTGCTATGAATAAGCTTAAGAAAATGGCTCTAAGGGTAAGTGTTTTTTCATTGAAAACAAGCAAACGCTTTTTAAGCTTAAAGACTAAGATAGTATTCTAGCACTTCAAAATTCAATTGGTTTTGAATACATGTACACTATTGTGGCTTTACAATGTCACAAAACCAAAGATTTTAAATATATCATTTTCATTTGTTTGAATTATTTCATTTGCAGGTTATTGCAGATAACCTTTCTCAAGAGGAAATTGCAGGTTTAAAGGAAATGTTCAAGGCAATTGACACGGATAATAGTGGACAAATTACATTTGAAGAACTAAAAGATGGACTAAATAGATATGGTGCAAATCTTAACGAGTCTGAGATACATGATCTCATGAAGGCTGTGAGTCATAATATATATTATGTGGTGTATATTTCGTTCTTGTATACCAATAAACAATACTACGTAATATATGTGTATGTAGTCTACAATTTCAATCATTTTCTTTTCATAAAAAATCAGGCTGACGTGGACAATAATGGTACTATTGACTATGGGGAGTTTATAGCTGCAATGTTGCACATGAACAAAGTCGAGAAGGAGAATCATTTATTTGCAGCATTTTCGTACTTTGACAAAGATGGAAGTGGATATATAACAGGTGATGAACTTCAAAAAGCTTGTGAGGAATTTGGCTTTAGGGATGTCCTCTTGGAGGAAATGATTCGTGAAGCAGATCGAGACAACGTAAGCAATCCTTTTCAAAATGATTTCGTTATACTTAGTAATTTTCTATGAAGGTTATAACTATAGGATATAATATATGTATATACACAAAAGAGCATTGGAGAGAAAGAAAGGTACCAACTACACAATATTATGATATACTCCGTAATATATATAGATACCCACATTATGTTTCAGAGTTCCATATTAAAATGTCAATCTCATGGGAGAGCTAAATTCAAATTCCATATAGAATGAATTAACTAAAATGCCCCACAAGCTGGTGGAGCGTTGGTACACACCAACTTGAACTAAGTATGCTCTTTGTGAGTCTTAACCAGATCGACATTCTCTTTTCATTGTAATGGGCACTGATACCATATGAAGAATTGATGTTCTATTCTAAAAGACCCGCCTAATATGATGAGTAGTTTAATACTTTATATAGGAGTTTGTCATTTTGTGTGAGGTTGGATTAATAATATGCTCCTTTTCTCTATTCTTAGTAATTTTGATATCTCCTACTACTTCAGGATGGTCGCATTGATTACGACGAATTTGTAGCAATGATGACTAAAGGGAATGCAGATTTAGGCCAGAAACGGTTATAAAATGATCTAAAATCAGCTTTAAGGAGGCAACACGGGCTTCTTGATACAGCCAATGGACTTTCTGTTTTGGCCTTCATCTTTTGAGAATGCTTGATTGGTGGATCTAGCCATTTATTGGTAAATTGAGTAAAAACTAGAGTATGCAACAAGTAACAGCCATGCTTTTCTCAACGCAAATGATGGTGACTTTATGTGTGGTAAGTGTGGTCATGGTGCTCAATCAAGCTGCTTAAATCAAAGAAGTTTCAGCGTGATTTAGCTCATGATTTAATACTTGCAAATTGTAATTGACAATGATGGTTTATCCTCCATGATTATGATGATTTATGAATGAATGAAAAAGATGACGCATCCAAATTATTGTTGAGCTTTCAAGTCCCATGATCAAACTTATGCATCAGGAGGACAAGTTTACAACTATGATCATTATTAATTATTATATGGGGCTATGATTCATAAATAGATATCTTAAAACAGAATATGTCTTTCCACATTCTCCCAATTGGTTGGTGATGATGTTGTGATTGAGATTACAGATGGTGCCAGGGATAGCTGGCAGTAGAGATGGTCGCCAATAATGGCCAGGAACACCAACATACTGGTGGTTTCCAAGTTCCAAAGGTTACGAGGGCAAAATGTGGTGGCGGTGGCGGTGGCGGTTGATTAGAGTATAGTGCTATCACGTTAATTGTAAACTTGTTGATGTTGGTGGAAGTTGACTTTTATGGTAGCAAACTAGTAACCAACAATGGAAGATAATGCCTATATTTTAGGGTGGTGGGGACTCATGAGGTGGGTTGACGATGGTGGTGGTTCAAAGCCGTCACCATGGCTATGGTGACAGATTCAATCTATTCAAGGGCTTTTATGTCAACAACCAATTTTTTGAAAATAAAATGCATAGATAAACGCGCATAGTTGATGTAATAGTAATAGTGTATTAGTGTATATGTTTCCAAGTACTATCGGAGTAGTATTTTACACTTAAACTTTTAATCCTAATTGCTTGTTTTCTATTGTTGGAAAAGCTACTTTTATTGAATGAGGTTTTGACATTAATAATACTATAAGAAAAAGCTGTGTACAAAAATATGATTAATAATTTATGAGGTACGCAGCAAATAAAGAACTACTAGTACGTAGTAATATTTTATAGGCTAAAGGGTCAAATAGGTACATGAACTAACTTAAAGTGTTCAATTAGCCCCTTATATAGGAGGTTCTGCCCGGCCGTCGCCAATTGCGGCGGTTCCCGGTGGAATTTTTTTATGAAATTTTTTGAGCATCTTCTTCATTAAGTCTAGTTTACCCATACCAAATTTCAGCTAAAAATTCAATCGGGAAGGCAGTCAAATGATTTTCCGAAATGTACTGCGCTGTTTAACAGCACAGTTATCTTCAAAAAATCATTTGAATTCCTTCCCGATTGAATTTTTAGCTGAAATTTGGTATGAGTAAACTAGACTTAATGAAGAAGATGCTCAAAAAAATTCATCAAAAAATTCCACCGAGAACTGCCCTAATTGGCGACGGCCGGGCAGAACCTCCTATATAAGGGGCTAATTGAACATTTTAAGTTAGTTCATGTACCTATTTGACCCTTTAGCCTATTTTATATTTGAGTAAAATGCATAACTAGTCCCTAAACTATCGGCATCATATCATTTTGATCCCTGAACTAACAAATCTATCATTTTAGTCCCTAATCTATGTAATTCATATTAATTCAGTCCTTCTCTCCATATTTTGACGTTAAACTAACGGAATGTGCTTAGTTAGTGCATGTAAATCAACATACTTATAAGACAAAACATAACTTTAAAATTCTGATTTAATATCTAAATAAATTAGAATGAAAACTACTATCAAATCATAATACAACGCGTTGTATAAAGTTATAACATAATATAATACTTTCGTTCTCTTTTAAATGCAACATTGGACTTATTGCATTATTCACATGTTCTACTTTGACTCTATTTTATTTAATACGGAGTAATGTATTATAAATTAAATTTTAAAAAATGTTAAATTCCTCTCATTTTAAATTTTCTAATTTTTCTTTAATTTTTTGTTAAGAAGGAATTAAAGATATTAATGGTCAAAGTTGTGTGTTGGCAAACGTGAAACTTGTGTGTTGACAAATTTTGAGAACTATACAAATATTAGTAAAAAAATAAAAAAATAGATTTTAAAATTTGAAAATGAGAGGAATTTAACACTTTTTTTAATTTATTTTATAATACATTACTCTGTATTAAAAGTAAAACATATGACTAGTGCAAAAAGTCCAACGTTGCATTTAAAAGAGAACGTATATAGTATATTACGATAGTACTACCTCCGTCCCACTAAGATTGGGACATGAGAAGGTGACACGGTTATTAAGAAGAATGGATTTGTGTGGTTGATATTAAATTGATAAAGTAAGAATAAAGTAGGAATGATTTAGAGCCACACAAATTTTACCAAATTTGGTATGGGACAATCTTAGTGGGACTTCCCGAAAAGGTAAAATGGGACAATCTTAGCGGGACGGAGGGAGTATGTCTTAACGCGTTATATTATGATTTGATAGTAGTTTTCATTCTAATTTAATTTATTTAGATATTAAATCAGATTTTTATAAGTTATATTTTGTCTTATAAGCATTTTGATTTACACATACATGCACTAACTAAGTACATTCTGTTAGTTTAATGTCAAAATATAGATAGAAGGACCGAACTAATATGAATTACATAGATTAGGGACTGAAATGATAGATTTGTTAGTTAGGGACTGAACTGATAGTTTAGGGACTAGATATGCATTTTACTCTTTATATTTTACGGAGTATGTAATATGAATGTTATTGTGCCCTCTAAAGCCGTAAGAAGAGAGGTATATACGGAAAGCTAATATGAAGTATATGGAAGCTAAAATATATGGAAGGCAAAATATATAGTTACCTAAGAAAGACTTGACCTTATAGCTAATAATAATATGACCATATATGGTCATCCGTAATTGTTTTAAAATAATACTTAAAAAAATGATTAATATGAAATTTGCATTTCCACCCTCGCCCAGTGACGACGACCCATAAATGAGGAATTTATGAATTCATAAAGGGATTTGTCCTAAATACATGTAAAAACGTTCAGGAATTCCAAAAGATAGTCAATGTTGTGTTTTAATTCCCAAAATATATAAGTGTAATTAATGTCATGATTTGGCAGTACCACACTTTAAGCGTGACAATATTTTTCGAACCTGGTAGTAATTACTCCTATTTAAGGAATAAAAACACGATAGTCCTATACCGAAATTCCAAAACGTTTATACTCAATTTCAGAAAATTTCACATTTATAAATACTTTTTCGTTGTTTCCAACTTTTTCGATAAATATATATCTCAAAACCGAGAATGATGGTTCAGTCCACGGTCAGGGTGGTCAGTCGACTCCATCTAAAAGTTCGAGAGTATAAAACATTTAAATATCATCGATTTGATATATGATGGATGACGTACTCTAGTAATTTACTACGAGTAAATAAATTATGACTCCTGAAAAATAAGCATTATCTAAATTTGAAATGAGTAAAATTTGATGTGTAATATTGATTATATTTTAAATTTGAAAATATCGTTTAATTCACTCATTACTTACATGAACTCTACAAAGCTATAATCTCTAGTTTAAACTACCATTTCCAAAGCTACATATGCAAAGTTCAATTTAGGTATAGTTTAAAAGTGATATGATCCATTCTTTTTATTCTAGATTTCGTAAATTTTCGACCCACTTGAATCACTTGTCAGGCTCCGCCACTCGTGAGAAGGATGGATTTAGGGATGTGCGTGGCAGCATGGGATCTAGCTCACTTTATAAGAGCATCTCCAATGATAAAATGTGCACGGTGCACACGTGGCATGAGAAATAGCCACATAAATATTAATAAATAAATTCTTTCATTCCTTATTTGAATGATTTTATACAGTTTTGGTAAGTTTTTCTCTACAATGTCAAGGAGACCGTCTAGATGTTGACATTGTTGTTGACATTGCAGGGAAAAACTTACCAAAATTGTATAAAATCATTCAAATAAGGAGAGAGATAATTTATTTGCTAATATTTATGTGGCCATCACTCATGCCACATGTGCACCGTGCACATTATAACATTGGAGATGCTCTAAGTGTTGTTCTATGTATATTACGCAGTAATATTTATAATTGAATTTCTTAGCAGTCCATACCAAAAATTGGTATTCACCCTATCAATATAATTCAGTGTTTTTTCTACAATCCAGGACTGTCGTATTCACTCAACATTTTTTTTTAATTAAAGTCCTACTTTTATTATTATACATCATCTTTTATCAAATTGTTTTAAGAAGTTATAATTTGAAAAGTCAATCGTTCAATTGTAAAAATAAATAAATTTGGATATAATAACGACATAAACAAGTCTGACTCACCTCTTTTGTCACATTATAGCCAAAAACGCACTTGCTACAATTATGTTTTTAAGGTTTTATGTTTATATCAAACGTAATTACATGCTCATATATACTATTCGTATTAAAATTAATGTTGTTTATAAAAATGTGATCTCCATAGTTGTAAAAAAGTAATTATTTAAGAACGTAATTACATACACGTAACTTGACAATAATTGTAACCAGTGGCGTATCCAGGAAATTTGGCGAGTGAAGGCAAACCTTCACTACAATTTAGTCTCATATTTCACAAATTGCAAATCACATTATTAATATTGTTTGATTATTTACTTTAAGATATATATGTACAAGTATGAATAAAAAGAAGATTAATTTATATTATGTGTGTGTAAAGATTTAATTGCAGATAAAATTTTACGAAAATTACCTAAATATAAGTTAAACATAACAAAATTTAGTGATTTTTTAGCCTTTCATTCTTTTAATATGAAAGAAAACACTCTTAATCCTATTTTAGATTTTTTTCCCACATTTAACTCTTATTTTGAGCAATTTCTTATAAAACTTTAGACATATATATAGGGGTTGGGTTGGGGTTGAGTTGGGGTTGAGTGGGGGCAGCTGCCCCCACTGCCCCATAGTGGATACGCCACTGGTTGTAACTTAGGTGCTGTTCTGTTCGTCTTATTCTTATTACTTATTGCTTATTCTTATTTTATTCAGATCAGATCAGATCAGATCAGAAAAATTCAGATCAGATCAGATCAGATCAGAAAAATTCAGATCAGATCAGATCAGATCAGAAAGATTCAGATCAGATCAGAAAGATTCAGATCAGATCAGACCAGATCAGAAACATTCAGATCAGATCAGAAACATTCAGATCAGATC